ACTTGACTTGACTTGAGCTTGTTGTAAAACAACGATGTCGGACGATTTTGAAGTTGGAGGAGAAAATGAGACACAGACGAAGAGCTAACCACGCGTGACCTTTTCAATGTGATTACGTAATGCGTGAATTTGTGGAAGCGCCTCGTGGAGCTAGTGCAAGATGTGAATTTGTGGTTAAAAAGTATATACATTTTTAGGTTTTTTTTTAGAAAATAACCGATCGTTTCACTAGATAAGACCCCTGTTCCTTGGCTGGGATCGTGTAGAGCCCTTTGACGCTGTATATACATTTTTAGTTTTTTTTTTTTTTTTAACCGATCGTTTCACTAGATAAGACCCCTGTTCCTTGGCTGGGATCGTGTAGAGCCCTTTGCCCTTTGATATACATTTTTAGTTTTTTTTTAGAAAATGACCGATCGTTTCACTAGATAAGACCCCTGTTCCTTGGCTGGGATCGTGTAGAGCCCTTTGAAGCTGCACTGAAACTGCAATTTGGACCTTCAACCCATTGGCCACCCTTTAAGTCCATTATATGGACTAAAATTAACTAAACTAAAACTAGTTACCCCTATGGGAGAATGTAAAATTAAATCCTGAATTTTTTAATTTATTTGAAATGCACAATACTGCATCTACTGCATCAAGCATGCTTTTGCCATTAAATTAAATATGTCAGACATTTCTCCCTGTTTTCCTCACAGGACTCACAGGAAAAGTTGTTGAATGAATGGGCCTTCTTGCCAACTAAATCTATAGAAATAAATATGCTAGAAGCAGAAGAAACTGTCACAATAACTGTATGAACACACACAAAGACGAAGATTAAGGAAAACAGTCTTTAATAAATCCACAGATAGATAATTCCAAGGTAATGGAAGGCTGGTGACACACATAACATTGACGAGACCCGACAAACTAACACTGAACAGACAGGAACTTAAATACACAGACCAAACTAAGATAATGACTAGACACACCTGAACTGAATGACAAAATCAAATCAAAAACCGTGACAACTAACAAGACAGAAACAGAAAGTCCAAACTAACAGAAATTGTGACAGAAACAGTATTGTACAGTCTATTTTTCTGTAGTAAACACAATAACGCATTCAGTCCCTTTTAAGGAAAGATTACAATAAACTTAAAGATTTTTAAAGAAACTAAACAAAATGGTAGCGTGAATATTCATGTACACCAGTGTTACCAACAAATACAGTATGTGCACACGTACACACACACACACACACACACACACATATATATATATATATATATAAAACACTGTAGAGATTTTTTTTCAGCATTCTTTATTAATTTCGCCTAAAACACAGAATATATATTTCTCATACAAGAATATGCAAAATCAATAATTAAATCGTAACTGCATGAACAAATGCACATTTCTATTAGTTATATTCAGTATTTCAAATCATGAACTGAAAGGCACCAACATTCTGCCCCACCCTGCAATGTACAATGAGTGTTGCATAAAACATCAGTCAAACCTTCTTGAAAATATAAAAATCTTTGTATTTCATACTGTGTAAAGTCATGTCATTAAACACCCTCAAGAGTTTTAGCACAATTCAAAACAGTAACTGAATTTAGCTGGGTAAAATAAAGCTCTGTGTCCATTCTCAGTATTCAAAGTGTTTTATCTTAACAGTTTTTTCCCCCAGTTTATAGGATTTTGGTTGGTAGCTAATGATAAAATGCTTACAAAAAAACAAAAAAAAAATTCAATTTTTATGTATTATTTGAAAATCTCTGGGGGTCTGAAGAGTAAACACTCAAGAGTAAAATATCTGCCTATTTCCTGTGTTTGTTTGTATGGCTTGCCAGTCCGAAGAAAATGTGTACAGAAGACCTTGAAATGAAGTTGAATGATGACAGATGGATGACAGTGATATAAAAATGAAGACAGTAATAAGTGCAGAAAGAAATATAGTGAGAGAGACAAAGATAAACATGTCGATGTGCATTGTTCTGAACAGATGGCTGCTTTTTCAAATAATCACACAGACTTCAAGAGCAGGCCTGAGGGAGCTCAGTCTCCTTCCCATGAGTCTCTGCTGTTCAGGTCCTGTTTACAGAAAGACAAACATCTGCTCGTCTTCCTTTCGCCCTTTCTCATGCTCACTAGAGGGAGGTCATGTTATCTCTGCAACTTTGGGGATTTCTATAAAGCTTAACGTCTAATGCACATGAAAAAAGTAGACTAGTTTAGTCCTTTATTCTGCTCTTTATCTCATGCTAATGAGTATGTCTATCAGCGTGTTTAGTGAAGAAATAAAGGTTCTTGACATTTTTCTTTAATAAAAAATATAGAAAAGATCCTACAAGTTTATTTTTCTGTATTATTATTATTGTGTATTTAGACTAGTGAGGCACAAGGACATCTCAGCATCTTCATGATAAAAGTTGAGGCAACATCCGTGACATGTTCAGAAGTCTGGTCCTTCCTTCTTCAGGTTTTTGTAGTCTGTGTTAATGGCCACAAACTAAAGAAGGAAAAATAGAAAACATGCAACATCGATTGTATATGGCAGGTGGAGACAGACAGTGATGTTATATGCATTTATTGACCAGCATTTAGTTTTCATTCCCAATTGTGCTGAAGGAGTGAGACTCGTGATCTGCTGGGCAAGTCAGCCCAGCTCATGTGCCACATTCAGACCATCAGGGAATTAACACAGGAAATACCAACACATCCTGTTCTACACTGATGAAGCCGCTCGGTTGAGTGGTGAAACGTTAAAGACATTAAGATAAACCTGCATGAATTCTTTTGAAATTCTGTGCTTCTCTTGAGGAGCGCTATTTCTGTTTCTCACACATCTATGAACAATCCTCAGCTCCCCAGTTACCTAAAATGCAACTGTGATTGAATGTTTGCAAATAATAAATTAGCTACAGGGCTGTTGCTAGAGGTGGTGCTAAAGGTGGTGATGATTATTGTAGCCCCTATTCGGGGGTCCCCCGCAATTTCAATGCAACTAAAGCCTGCTCTGTTTAAATATAAATGTGGAATTAATGTTAAACTAGAATTAATACTAATACATTTGTACTAGACAAATCATAACTGGGACAAATGTTGGTTTTAACAAGCATGGACCCTTTTCACAGGCTGTTGTGAGGCATTTCTACAATAATTAACATGTTTCATGTTGTTGTTGTTTTAATTGATATACTTGCATAACTGTGTTTTGTGTTATAGTACCCTGACATCAAATTACAAAACAAAACAACAACAACAAAAATAACTTAAAAGTAAATAAATACTTAACACTGCTTATATGATGCCAACAGTGGGCTCATGTACCTTGTACTGGTAGCTTGGACTGAGCTTATTCCAGGGCTCAGGGTTGCTGTTCTTGTTCCAGCTGTCGGGAGTCAAAGACAAAACAACATCTCAAATAAACTAGTATTTATTTAGTACTGGGACAAAATGGACTACTAACTAACTAACTAATAGGGATGTAACGATTCACTCAACTCACGATTCGATTCATGATTTTTTTTTTTACAAAATGAGATTTAAGACAAATTATAAATTAAATGTGTCCTTTTATTATTGCTTGGACAAAAGACTGTATGTTTCTTTGTGAAATGGAAATATAACTATAATAATATACTAATATAGCACTTGTAAATTATTGCTCTTTTGTTGGTTTTGATTGCTTCTATTGTCCTCATTTGTTAGTCGCTTTGGATAAAAGCGTTTGCTAAATACCCAAATTTAAATATAATGTAAATGTAAATAACAAAACTAAATTGAAATTTTAAAACAAGCCCCAAATCAAATAAATAAATAACACAAATAAAAGAAATCTCTTCATATAAACAAACTCAGGCTTTGTCTGTGCTCTGTTCCTTGGCTGGGATCGTGTAGAGCCCTTTGACGCTGTATATACATTTTTAGTTTTTTTTTAGAAAATGACCGATCGTTTCACTAGATAAGACCCCTGTTCCTTGGCTGGGATCGTGTAGAGCCCTTTGAAGCTGCACTGAAACTGCAATTTGGACCTTCAACCCATTGGCCACCCTTTAAGTCCATTATATGGACTAAAATTAACTAAACTAAAACTAGTTACCCCTATGGGAGAATGTAAAATTAAATCCTGAATTTTTTAATTTATTTGAAATGCACAATACTGCATCACTGCTTTTCAGCATGCTTTTGCCATTAAATTAAATATGTCAGACATTTCTCCCTGTTTTCCTCACAGGAATGAATGAGCAAGTTGTTGAATGAATGGGCCTTCTTGCCAACTAAATCTATAGAAATAAATATGCTAGAAGCAGAAGAAACTGTCACAATAACTGTATGAACACACACAAAGACGAAGATTAAGGAAAACAGTCTTTAATAAATCCACAGATAGATAATTCCAAGGTAATGGAAGGCTGGTGACACACATAACATTGACGAGACCCGACAAACTAACACTGAACAGACAGGAACTTAAATACACAGACCAAACTAAGATAATGACTAGACACACCTGAACTGAATGACAAAATCAAATCAAAAACCGTGACAACTAACAAGACAGAAACAGAAAGTCCAAACTAACAGAAATTGTGACAGAAACAGTATTGTACAGTCTATTTTTCTGTAGTAAACACAATAACGCATTCAGTCCCTTTTAAGGAAAGATTACAATAAACTTAAAGATTTTTAAAGAAACTAAACAAAATGGTAGCGTGAATATTCATGTACACCAGTGTTACCAACAAATACAGTATGTGCACACGTACACACACACACACACACACACACATATATATATATATATATATATAAAACACTGTAGAGATTTTTTTTCAGCATTCTTTATTAATTTCGCCTAAAACACAGAATATATATTTCTCATACAAGAATATGCAAAATCAATAATTAAATCGTAACTGCATGAACAAATGCACATTTCTATTAGTTATATTCAGTATTTCAAATCATGAACTGAAAGGCACCAACATTCTGCCCCACCCTGCAATGTACAATGAGTGTTGCATAAAACATCAGTCAAACCTTCTTGAAAATATAAAAATCTTTGTATTTCATACTGTGTAAAGTCATGTCATTAAACACCCTCAAGAGTTTTAGCACAATTCAAAACAGTAACTGAATTTAGCTGGGTAAAATAAAGCTCTGTGTCCATTCTCAGTATTCAAAGTGTTTTATCTTAACAGTTTTTTCCCCCAGTTTATAGGATTTTGGTTGGTAGCTAATGATAAAATGCTTACAAAAAAACAAAAAAAAAAATTCAATTTTTATGTATTATTTGAAAATCTCTGGGGGTCTGAAGAGTAAACACTCAAGAGTAAAATATCTGCCTATTTCCTGTGTTTGTTTGTATGGCTTGCCAGTCCGAAGAAAATGTGTACAGAAGACCTTGAAATGAAGTTGAATGATGACAGATGGATGACAGTGATATAAAAATGAAGACAGTAATAAGTGCAGAAAGAAATATAGTGAGAGAGACAAAGATAAACATGTCGATGTGCATTGTTCTGAACAGATGGCTGCTTTTTCAAATAATCACACAGACTTCAAGAGCAGGCCTGAGGGAGCTCAGTCTCCTTCCCATGAGTCTCTGCTGTTCAGGTCCTGTTTACAGAAAGACAAACATCTGCTCGTCTTCCTTTCGCCCTTTCTCATGCTCACTAGAGGGAGGTCATGTTATCTCTGCAACTTTGGGGATTTCTATAAAGCTTAACGTCTAATGCACATGAAAAAAGTAGACTAGTTTAGTCCTTTATTCTGCTCTTTATCTCATGCTAATGAGTATGTCTATCAGCGTGTTTAGTGAAGAAATAAAGGTTCTTGACATTTTTCTTTAATAAAAAATATAGAAAAGATCCTACAAGTTTATTTTTCTGTATTATTATTATTGTGTATTTAGACTAGTGAGGCACAAGGACATCTCAGCATCTTCATGATAAAAGTTGAGGCAACATCCGTGACATGTTCAGAAGTCTGGTCCTTCCTTCTTCAGGTTTTTGTAGTCTGTGTTAATGGCCACAAACTAAAGAAGGAAAAATAGAAAACATGCAACATCGATTGTATATGGCAGGTGGAGACAGACAGTGATGTTATATGCATTTATTGACCAGCATTTAGTTTTCATTCCCAATTGTGCTGAAGGAGTGAGACTCGTGATCTGCTGGGCAAGTCAGCCCAGCTCATGTGCCACATTCAGACCATCAGGGAATTAACACAGGAAATACCAACACATCCTGTTCTACACTGATGAAGCCGCTCGGTTGAGTGGTGAAACGTTAAAGACATTAAGATAAACCTGCATGAATTCTTTTGAAATTCTGTGCTTCTCTTGAGGAGCGCTATTTCTGTTTCTCACACATCTATGAACAATCCTCAGCTCCCCAGTTACCTAAAATGCAACTGTGATTGAATGTTTGCAAATAATAAATTAGCTACAGGGCTGTTGCTAGAGGTGGTGCTAAAGGTGGTGATGATTATTGTAGCCCCTATTCGGGGGTCCCCCGCAATTTCAATGCAACTAAAGCCTGCTCTGTTTAAATATAAATGTGGAATTAATGTTAAACTAGAATTAATACTAATACATTTGTACTAGACAAATCATAACTGGGACAAATGTTGGTTTTAACAAGCATGGACCCTTTTCACAGGCTGTTGTGAGGCATTTCTACAATAATTAACATGTTTCATGTTGTTGTTGTTTTAATTGATATACTTGCATAACTGTGTTTTGTGTTATAGTACCCTGACATCAAATTACAAAACAAAACAACAACAACAAAAATAACTTAAAAGTAAATAAATACTTAACACTGCTTATATGATGCCAACAGTGGGCTCATGTACCTTGTACTGGTAGCTTGGACTGAGCTTATTCCAGGGCTCAGGGTTGCTGTTCTTGTTCCAGCTGTCGGGAGTCAAAGACAAAACAACATCTCAAATAAACTAGTATTTATTTAGTACTGGGACAAAATGGACTACTAACTAACTAACTAATAGGGATGTAACGATTCACTCAACTCACGATTCGATTCATGATTTTTTTTTTTACAAAATGAGATTTAAGACAAATTATAAATTAAATGTGTCCTTTTATTATTGCTTGGACAAAAGACTGTATGTTTCTTTGTGAAATGGAAATATAACTATAATTACAGAGGCAAGATGAAAAGAAAATATACCATCGAAAGACAGTAAGTTCCCCTCAGACATACATTCATCATATAAACTCCTGCCCCTAACTGAATCGCGATTTGTTTAGCATCTCAACCGATTTGAATCGTCACATATTTAAATCGATTTTCAACCGGCTTGCGGTTAATCGTTACATCCCTACTAACTAATGAAATAAATTTTATTAAACATGTTCAGTGGCATTAATGTTTGGTTTTCTCCTGCTAAGATTTTCTTACAAAATGCGTTTTTTCTTTCCATCACTCAATACGAGTCAACACTGTCAGATACAATAATATAATGCATTAAATAATTAATATAAATATTGTCAAACCTAGTATCTATTTTAGTGAATGAATGAAGATTATAGGATGGTTTTAAACTGATTTTGAGCTCCACTTATTGAATTGTGAGTCAGTCAGACAGAAAACATTCTTGATGCTTGTGCTGTTGACAAAACCTAACTTAATTGGCATATGACACATTTATTAAATGCAACTGCTGTTTAATTGTTATGGTGTTTTATGGAAATAGGACCAAATTAATTATCAAAAAAAAAAAATTTTTTAAATGTCCCAATGTCTAAAGTCACTGTTAATACACTTTACCCATTAATGCGTTTTGTTTAATGTAATAATTTCCTTACGTGACATGAGGTCCTCTGGCAAGACGAAACAAATAAAGGAACGCTCCACCCATGCCCAGACAGATGAAGAAAAACTGTGGGATGAGCTGTGAAAGATGATATGATTTATTAATTGCTCTCTTGGAAAGTGCTATAAAACAAAAGGTTCATTATGTAGTCATATTAGAAGTTTGATTAGCAATCTTATTCTGGAAAAAGAAGAAGACAAAGGGAAAACATTATTCAGCTTTAAAATATTCTAGTGTCACAGATCCAGCTGTTCTATTTTCAAGTTTTCATTTTGTTTTATTTTTAATGTTTTAAATGTTTGAAGAGCATCCACAGTAGGTGAGCATATTAATAGTACACTGTTACTTAGTAGCCAGTTGCTCAGTTGTTAAATAAAAAAAATAAATTTTATCCCACAGAGCATGCAATACTATTTTATTATTCTGAGTACTTGAGGAGATATTTCTGCATTATTTCTAGGAGTCTAATCAAAGGAGCTGATTGTTTTATTAGATAAAAAGTAATATTTTTAGAAAACAGGTTTAAAATACTCACTCCTGGATGTTTCTTGACCTGATCTCGGACTTTCCGCAGCATCTTTACTGGAGATTAAAGAGCAGAACTGTGTGTCTCTGTATGTGTTGCAGCTGCTATGAAAGGAGTGAGGGGGGGGATAAATGGGAGGTTGCTCAAGCTCAAGGAGGGAGGGAGAGAGCAAGAGAGAGAAAGAGAGGGGATGTAACCTCATACTCTTTGTAGTTACTTTTTTTGAATTAGTAATTACTTTGCAACACTTTCATGTCATTGTCATGTGACCTACCTGCATCAGTTACATTGCTTTACTATCATTCAACTCCTCTTCCACACCCTGGATCAGATTTTTACTTGCCCTGCCAAAATTTTTACTGGCCTCATCACCAAAAAAATAAATAAAATTTGTTTAGATGTTTAGAAATATTATTTATCCTTTGTCTTAGCGTTTTAAAGGGGTCATATGATGCTATTTTAAAGATCATTATTTGGTGTATTTGGTGTAACAGAATATGTTGACATACACATTATTTTTCAAATACTGTACATTATTGTAGGTCCTCTATGCCCCGCCTCTCTCAAACACATCATTTTCAACAAAGCCCCCTGTAACAAAGTCAATGACTTGAGAAGGAAGAGGACGGGGTCGGCTTGACTGCTGCTGGTGATTTTATTTGGCTTCAAACACATAAACAGAACGTTGCGCTACCACCGCTCAATATAGCACAATTGCATATGCAAAATCACAGGACTCTCCAGAGCAGGCTCAGTCTCCCCACCAGTCAGCAGTCGGTCTCTCTCTCTCTGCCAGCTCAGTCCCGGGCCTCTTTATGC